GTTCCAACCAGCCAATGAACGATCAGACACTACAGGGTCCGTATCAATCAGACAGCTGTCCATCGCCCGCTATTTTCACCACCGCCTTGAACGCCTCTTTATTCAGCGCTCTGAATGCATTCGAACCCGAGAAGAAAAAGACTAAACGCGATGAATTGGCACAGAGATCGCAGCGCGTCACCGGACATCGTCGCTCCCATTGTTCCATGTTTCCGTGAAAGGATGCTACATTCTCTTTGTCCTATCGCTTCGACCTTACATTGGACATCGGGTGTGTGGATGGAGCTGCGAGGTTATGCAGCGCAAGCCACCCATGGTTCTTCAGAAGGGTACAGGAGTAATTGAGTTATTCGCAAACTCAGTGACAACCAAAGCCGAAAACGGATTCTACCGGTCAGATAACCACGAGAAGAGCCAAGCAAATTGATACGCTCGCTGAATATTATAGTGGTGAATTTTAAAACTGAACATTCGGTGGGTCGAAAAGCTTCCGAGCATTACGAGGAACAAAACAAGATGTTATTGTCAGAAGTGAGACCACGCAATATCATTGAAGATGACACGATGCAAGAGAGACAAAACAAGCTTAACTGGAACGGGCAATTGAACACTCACTCGAATGAACATAACTGCGGTGTCTTTGCAGACCGACCTTCGCAGAAAACGATTTGCCACAATGTTCACAAGTATACGGTAGTTGCTCTGGAGAAGGGAGAAGAAATAAATCAGGTACAGATAAACGGCACGCGAAAAACAGAAAATGAACAGAGAATGGTTAATTTGAACGGGGATGCAACAAATTAGCAATACGACAGAATCTGAATGACAGCCACCAAATTCCAGGATTCGCTGTGTAAAACTATGAATTACAGTGTTCAAGGATCAAGTAAGATGGAAGAGAAAAGCGAGGTAAAGATTGTGAAAAGTATATCGGTAATAACGACTGCGTACTAACATTAGGTACCAAACAATGTATCCAGTATTTCCGTTCGTCCACCTCATTCAACCAGTGCAAAGAATAAACAGATCCGGCGGAACGACATCAACATTCGGGAGACAACGCAAGCAGTGCAACCGGGCTATTAGGCTTGGTGCGACCAAATGCAGCTTTTGTAGTTTCGTAACAGAGTGGCAAATCTGCTCCTCTCTCAGCACCAGCCTTATACTTCCATTGGCTATTCCAATCCAATCCGTACTTTCAGAAAACTTGGTAGACGACCAGTTAATGTATTTATGATGATAGACCGTCCTTCGTTACCCTCACCCACCTCCCATTGGTTAAGCAAAGGCCTGGACAGTTTTGCTAAGGTTGTCGTCCCTTTGCACCAGAAAGCCTAGATTCCAATTCGTGCGGTGTTCGACAGTATGATCTAAACCGTACCCGGGAACATGAGACGACTTGCACAAATCAAAGTAATATCAAAGATCCCCGACCTTAAAAATTATACAGCTGTGGAATGTTCAGGATCACTTTGACGAATATGCAATTTATTTGATACATCAGTCCAACCTTATACAAATGCTGGGAATATATGCAACTTCTATCACAGTTGTTTCTCTTCAATAACGATACAGGAAAATAGTAGCATTAGACCAATTAACCTCCTGTTGGACGGTATGATCCGAAATCTGCACTAAGACAGTGGCTTCGCTTAACACAACGTAAGTAGTATTAATGGTTAGAAAAATCCAGAAACGTGCCGTGCACAGATCCAAAGCTCTAATGCTTGATTGATCCGCTTTCGTTTCGCTTAATAGCTTTGCTTATCGCAGACATTGAATGTACCAGGTTTTGGAGATGTTCGCAAGTGATGATACGGCTCAAACCATCAATAATGGACCCAATAAGTACCATTTTGCTCGTCGACTGATAGAGTGAAAATGTGTACTATAAATTTTCAAATCGATCTGATTCAGGGGATTAAGTCGGTCATTCGAGCATACCCCACCAACATTTTCATTTATTCAGCGATTGTCATCGTAAGATGGAATGGCGCATTATGCTCGTAGAAGTTGTGGTCCCGATTGAATGGATTATGCGTGCTTATCATCTATGCTCACGTTCTTAGTTTGCCTTTTAACACGTCTGATGAGAGTGCTTTGATTACAGCCAACGTTTTTCGCTATCTCCGCATCTTTGCCCAGATACTTGAACCATCTCATGATATAACTTCACCGAAGTTGATAAACAAGTGTCATCAGTCTGCACTAAAACTCTCCACAAATTTGAAAATACACACGCTTCTGTGTTACAAGCCGGAAATGCTAGATTTCCAATGGAGGAAAATCCTTTTGCTTGAGAAATCGGCTTAGAACCCAATTTAAAACATTTACAGTACTCTAGGCAGACTACATCACAGAGGTTACTCCAGTGAACATGTCATGGCTAAAACAATTTTCAGCATCACATCAACATTAACAATGACGTGCAGAGCAATTTCAGAGAAAACGCTATGTCGTTTCGGTGCATTGGTTTTGTCACCCGGAATAGAATGCGGAACAACAGATCAGTGTTTTATTTCAAGATGATGCAGGACTTTTTCACATGGCTGTGCAGTGGAATCAATCCATCGACCTCAAACGTCGAGTTAGTTGACCCACTCATTTCCGCAAAACCGCATGTTCAACAAACACAGCGTCGTTCGAATCAAAATTCAGTACTCTCGTATGAAACGGAAAGTAAAACGTCGACCGATACAATCACCAGAGTCCCTATACTTCATAAACAAACTTCCACAAAGAGTAATTTAAGCTGGTGGTGGATTTCTTAATGTTTTTTACAAATCTTTATCGAACATCGATACATGACATTCCTCCGCACTTCAAATTTATATCATGAGAAAACATTTGCCCCCTTGCGAGCAATCTTCAGTAGAAACAAATCTACAAACTGGGAGGATATTGAACATACACCTAACATTTCAAATCAAGGGCTTCGGACTCCGCCATAAGGACTCAAGAATAATATCTTATTAATTTTGAGGAGACACTGCAAAACATGTGGTGGAGGATTTGGAAATCACATCAATTCGCGCCCCCTATGACAACGTGCTAATCTTTTTGTGTGAAGATGGACCAGGTCTCACGACGAGCGATCCGAGGTGGCGAAGTACCAGACTCGAGTTCGTGGTTGTAATGAAAAGAACCCTAATCTAGCTGACCCTCATCGATCTGGGGGATAGACACTCTGTCACTATTCACACCAAGCGAAGCAATAACGAGTATATCAAGCAACAGACAACAACTGAAATGGAAGAAACTGAACACGCAGGCACATCATCATCAACAGCAGTTTATCAGCCAGTTGAACTGATGCTTCGCGAACATAGAATCATAACGAGCCAATGAACAAAATTAGTGGGTGGATAGAAGAGGGAGTTACCGGAACACCTTAATGCCCTAAACAAATATTCAGTGTCAAGACAACTACGCCTAGTGTCAATGATATACAGTCTCAAACAGCTGGCCATCGTGCAAATATAAAGCGTCATGGGCGAGACAGTTTCCTGGCATATTTCACTGCCCCGCATCACAAACAGCCATTACCCCTCAGATAACTCAGCTCAAAACACGATTTAAACAGGCGGGCAGACTAGGAGAAGACAACAGACGCACCGCTGGTATCGAATGCGTAACATGTCCTGTAGTCTCGAGCCAAGCGCAAGGCTAGTCCCATGAACTCCAGTTTAGAGGGCCAGACGGACCGACGGCACCGAGTTTGGTCTTCATTTCCCGCTGACAAGTCAACGTTCGTTCTCACCGAGCCTAGTGTTGTTGATGCAACTGCAAAGGTAAGTGAATTGAGGAACCTCATGTTCCTCGCTATCAAATGTCAAAAGACCATCAAGTGGCTGGTGGTCCTGCAACTGCACTTTACAGTTTTAAAAGTGTGAAGCGCCTATCAAATGAAGATTCTAGTCTACAGAGGATATTCAGACTTGATTGCGCCGCCCCATCATCGTTAACTAGCGTGACAGTATCGTCGCATAACCAAGATCAACTAGCCGTGCACCAGCCAACACCTGCAACGTGATGCTCCGAAAGGGAGTCCGCGACGAAACTGAACCCAAATGGTGAAATTTGACAAATCTGACAAGCACCGCTTGTCGCAAGGATGTCCGATACTTCACCCCAGACAATGACGCGGCCTGTCCTGTTCGAGTGCGGAGTAGGTAGATTATTCACATATATCAAGGGAACACTTATCCACACAAGTATATCGAACAGAATGCATCGACTGACTAAGTCGAACGCACTTCTGAAGTCAAACAACGCAGCCATTGCCGGTCTGCGGGGTGTGGTGCTGCTCTAGCACCTGCCACAGCGGAAACCCGCCTACTTTTCCCTAGTCCGGGAGTGCAGTTTCGCAGTGAGACGAGGAACGAGAATTGATACCGGTACTTTTGTCAACACTGACGATGGGTTAATGCCTCTGTGAGTAGCACAGTCAGTGTGAGTGCCTCTTGTATAGTGCCACAATAATCGATTCACAACAGTTAGCCCGGATGATCTCTGCCTTCCAGCCATGTCAGTGTTTGCAGAGGAATGAACCCTATCCCTAAACAGTGCAGATGGAGGGAATCTGTGCCTGTAGAAAGCAAACGAAAGAGGGCTGTGATTGCGTTTTGGACCGCAGCCTCCGATGGAAAATCTTAACTAACCGTCCATGCCTCATCTTGCATCAGCTGTGTAGGAAGAGGTCCGGAAGCAGAGGGCTAACTGAAATGATCATGAAAGTGCTCCGCCCAACCAGCTATACGGTGCTCCTAATTGCGAATCATGGTACCCAGAATGCCTTTGATTGTCTAGCTGACGCCAGAATACATGCGACGTACAGTGCGGATCAGCTATAATAATTATCTATTGCTCACGAAACTCCAATCCTTGAGCTAGACTGTTCCACCAAATTTCCTTGTCCGCACGCGAATTCCGTTTTGGTTTGCGCCAGGTAAACTTGCTAGTCACATGGTGCTCAGAGCTAACCGGGAGGGTGCTTCTGGACATAAAGTGGATAGTGCGGTGATGACTGATAGTACTACAAGCCAATTCTAATGCGTCGTGCATGGCGAACGAGTTCCTATTCCACAGAAGCTCATAGTCAGAAGGAAAAGAAAGAGGGAGTTCGATGCGCAGGGCATTTTGGTACGCTTGCATGCCCGAGGATTGATATAATTTCTTACTTGCTGTTTGGGAGAGACGCTTGGTGCGCCTGAAGGTAAATTTCTTGGAAAAGCTACCGCGTACCAAGGCACGCAAGTATTCCAGGACGAACGACAATCCAGTATGGAACCAATCCACCTGTAACTTATGGCATGTCACCGATTTAGGTCAATCACTACCTAGCTACAAGAGGACGCCAAGTGGCACTCCGGTGCCAAATGAGTCAAAAACCGTTGCTCCGAGTACAGCTGAAAGCGACACTCGCCGCTCTCCGTCCGTTGGCAGTCAAGTTTACTCTTGTTAATTACCTGAGCTTTCGAAGAGCTCAGAAGACCTAGTTGCTCAATCGTACCTCCTGCAACAACATTGATATCCGAACTGATAGCGTTGCGAAGCAGCCTGTACACTTCGTGGTAGGTGTCGTTCGCAGCATCAGAAATGCAGTCGATGGGGGCATATGTAAAAACCACTAACAAACAGCGCCTTCTAGTATTTCGTGAAGCAGCTTTAGGTGATGTTATCAAACGGGCTGTACACAAATGGCTGCTCACGGGAATCCAGTCAACCAACGAAGACTCAGCCTTGGAGCTGAGCGCGGTACCTACCCAAGCTTGACCTGAGTATCGTATCAGCATCTCCGGATGCGTGCAACTACTAGCGAGGGGACAAGCTGGGTAAATTTAATTTAACAACTCCGTGAGGGTCATTGATTCCAGTTTCAGGTACGTATCATACGTCAATACTCAATGAGTCAAACACGCATGTGAGTGCAACCGGTTGGCCTATTTGTCATAGAGTGCCAACGTTGATTGCCGCCAGTGAAACAGGACAGTGTGGATCTCCAAGGGACTGCTGCCGATAGGCGTCCAGAGGGTGGTACGGGACGGTAGTTGCAGATGGTGTGACTCCGGTGGCATTACGGCTGCTGTTAATAAGGCTGAGAATGATGGAAGGAAGGTTAGTAATAGGTGCCAGGAGGAGAGTAAGTGAGATAGGCGGAAAAAACAGAACGGGTGCCATCAGTAGCATGCTTTCGCTTATCCGCTTCAGAAAAAGCATAAAGCCCTTGGTATCCCATACCGCGAGAACTGAATCATGTCTGCTCGACGGGCCTGATGTGCACAACAGTAATGAAGTCCAACAAGGAGAAGGGGTACATTTAGTCGCATTGATGGATAGTGCGGACATCATATGCACCGTTAGACTAAGCTATGGGAGGAGAATACTACAGCTACTGTACCGCAATACATAAGAAAAAACATACAACAGGTGCATGCCAGCTAAGTTACCGGTAACGGATGGGCACCATTCAAGAGATACCAGCTGGCTACTATGCAGCCAAAAAATTTCTGATGCAAAAGTTATATTACTCTGAGAAATGAGATCGCTTTTGGAAGGGGAGGCTAAGAGGAATGAGGAGGGAAAAGGACAGTCACAACACGAACGCAAATGAGGTCAGCTCCTAGCCATGTCAACAAGTGTATCCAGCCACAAGTGTTGCAGAGAGAGAGAGAGAGCAATAATCTAGTAACGTTGACAACTAGCTCAAAAGCCGCCCTTCCTTGATCCACTGAAACACCCTTTACAGAACGAACGAATAAAGCAGATTATCCTATTCCTGACAACGGCACCCCCATTAAATTATACTCATGCATAAGGAGTAAAGGAAAGTCTTAGTGCTTGGAACAGTGTAGCAATGACAACTCGTTAAATATATCACAGGCCGGTCCAATCCACCAATCCACCTTCAGCAATAGACAACCTGATGTAATTCATAGTCCACTGTCACCCAAAGACGACTTCGCCAATCCAGGGACCTGTGTCTTTAAAAAGCGTATGGATACTAAATACTCGGTCGCACCCAAAATTCCCTATTGCGCAACCTCGTAAAACCACCAGCGTAAACAACCTTCCCTGTTGAAGAAGACCACTAACAACTGCGTTTTGGTTACGCCTAATTATCATCCTATACTCCACAACAATCACTGGAAGTGCACAGATAGTGGAAGGACGTCGAGCAGTAGGACTATGTTACCACCGGCTCTTTTACTTGCTCCTTCAACTTCGCACGCAGTTTCTGCCAACAACCATTTTTGGCGGCGACGGGAATGGACTCGCACCCATTCCCATCTCAGATACATCTGACGGAGGTCAACACCTTGATCCCACACTTTTTCCAATTTGTGCAGATGACAAAGATAGTCCATTTTCAAACCAACGGCAACCTAAGCATGATGCCTGGGTTCCTGTCGTGCCCCCAACTGTCTCGATATCCACACATGACATACTACCCTTATCAACGAACGTTCTAATAGCGAACTACGGCCCACCATCCTCGTACTTGCCTATCATGTGCACCATGCTCGAACCCAAAGATTCAGATGAGCACACGACAGCCAGCGATCATTCCCCAATACTTAGTACATTTTCGGGGATGCTGATTAATGCCATATAATAAATCAACAAACTTCATTTTGTAAACACACTTGCACAGTTCAATGACCCACAAGCGATCCTCGTCACTAAAACATGTTCTTCAGATACACTTGACTCTACTCTGAAGGTTCCAAACTACCACCTATTTCGAAAAGATCGCTGTGAGAGAAAAGGTGGAAGGTGTATTATATACCAACGCAAAATAGTTGGAGCTAAAAATATAGACCACACAAATGGAAAATATCCCTGATTCTATTTGGTTGTCAGTCGCTGGTGTCTCATCTTACACACTGCTCGCGTGTATCTAAAATCCACCGGATGCGCCTAACGTGAATACCACCAACATCACTTCCGCATTTGACTTCGCATAAGAGTTGCCACACAGCCAGAAGATTATTGACGGCGATTTCAACCTACCGAAAATACACTGGTCTTCCCCTCCAAGGTCAACCTTGCACGCCTCTTTTTTTTCTTTCATCAGAGCTGGGGGTTGGACACAATGGATTACCAGTCGGACCAGGTCCGCCAATGTATTTACTATGCACGTTTGGTTACCCAATCCACAAACCCCGATCTTAAACAATCTCACTAGCAGCGACCATAAGATGATCCGACACAGCTTCCAGATTAAAATTGTCACCAAACTCCCCTCTACAACGTCAGTTGCAACCCATAAGCTAAACTGGCAATGCTTTCAGCAGTTCATTCGTTTCTCCGACTTGGATGTATTTTTCCTCGCTATCAGTGTGTACATCGCTGTATATTATAACACAGAGTAAACGCCATAACAGGAAAAAAAGAACACAGCCGTACGGACAAGCTCCAAAGCTTTGAGAGCTTGTCACAATACTGCATCGTAGAATCAGTAACCGCTCTCTTCTGATTACCGAAATTGTTGATGGTGAGGGTCACTTACTCCATGACCCAGCTGGAATCTGTGAAACATCCAGTGACTTTCTAGACACTACCATCAGTCAAGAAGCTGACCCGTGCCTGTGTGCTCAGAGCTCACCGAAACAAACCTCTAAAGCAGAGACGATATCTCGCTCAGCCCTATCCATCAAGTTATGATATTAATCAGGCCATCTTCCAAGCTAGGATCTGATGGCATTTCACCAACCACCATCAAACTAAGAGGACGTGATATACCATTGCTACAGAGGAGCATGTTCACACTATGGCTGGAATCTGGTCACTTTCTAGACCAATGGAAAACGTCAATTAATATGCCTGGGCATAAAGGAGATCCCAACAAACGATTGACAAATACCGACCAATCCACACACTGATAATCGCTCGGCAATTTGAAAAACTGGTCAGCAAGGATATTATGAACTTTGTTTGCTCTATTGGCCTGACCAATCATACGCAGCATGGTTTTCTCAATAAGCGATCGTGCACCACCTGTCAACTGCATTGCCTTAATCAAAGTCTAGAATCAATCGATTCCGCCTATGCAGTAGTAATCTTGTTTCTTGACATACACCAACCGTTCGACCGAGTACCGCAGAAGCGACTGCTACAAAGTCGGAGAACTGTGGGATCCGGGACCCATTACTAGGTTGGCTATCGTCATACCTGACTGGTCGTCATCAGGTAGTCACCTTAGGTGACTGTCGCTCTTTTCCACGTTCCATCACCAGTGGGGTCATTCAAGGGAGCGTGCTCGGTCCTGCACCCTTTCTGCTCTACATCAATGACAACACCAAATCTGTGAAACATGGAACGGCATTTTTAGTTGCTGACGATATCAAAGTAGTCAATAGGTTTTGGCGTGACGAGCATAACGGGACATTACTGCTCATTCAAAATGGGTTACATTCCCTTGAGTCATGATGCTGCGCATGGGTGATGAACCTACCGGAAAAGAAATCATGTCTTACGGCTGCTTCATCCCCGAAGGATCTATCACCCTACACAATGAATGTGTCCCTGCACAGTAGTTCACACGGGATCTTGGCATCAGGTACTAATCTACCTTCAATTTCTCCGAACAAGCCCAATACCAAGTGCCAGACAGTCTATGTTCAATATACCAAACAAAATGCACACAAGTCATGTCAGAGTTAAGCTTTTAAATCTATTCACTCGCCCGATCCTTGAAACATGAGAAATAGTGATAGAGTTGTTGTGGAGAAGCTGCAGAGATCATTTACTAAACATCTGATTGGTAAACACTCTGCAATGAGTTATTGAGAACGTTGCAACGAACTTCATCTCGAACCACTTTGGATTCGTTGATGGAAGCACAACTTGTTGCTGCTTTTCAACATGTTACACAAAAAGACCCATTTCGGCCTGCCTATCTGTGGAATAAACTACCAATAACACTCAAATCATGTGACAATGCAGTAACAGCTTTATCTAAATACGCTAAGCTCTATATTCACATGCGAAAAATCCCTCGATAAGCTATTACAAGAGGGGCAGAAAAACATATAAACACCAATGTTTTCATAACTAGGCTTTAGCCTCCACCATCCGGCAGAATGTTAATACATGAAACGCATATCCCAATACTACACCTATGCATGTCGCCCATGCAAGAGCATAGATTCTTCTGCACAAATTGATCTGTGCCGCTATAAACACAATTTCCCTCATTAAAAGAAATGTACATGTTATAATAATCACTATATCCATGTCCACGCAATGCAGCGGATTGTGACGCGCGTCAGCCATCAAAGAGGTCAGCTGATGGTACACGTGAAAGCATCGGACATTTCATTGGTCTCTACCTTACGACCAAAGTGAAAAGGTGGTGAAGGGAGGGGGCATTCAACATTTTACTAACTCAGGTGAATAGAGTGCTCGTGGATCCGACGATTGCCCAACTGAGAAAAGGTTTTCTCACAGTATTTACATTTGTGAGGTCGCTCTCCTGGAACATAAAACAAAAACTTGATGGTTACACAAAGTATCACAAACACATTGTAATAGAGGAAACATAATGTCATGTCGCAAATGTGATCCAAACGACCAACTAGAATTGGCTAAATAACGATGGATGAGGAAAAGAATTGCGCACCGTACTCTAAAAACAAATGTCCTGTTTTGAAAAAATCTACTAGACTGCTAACACAGGATTCGGGAATGAAAATCAGTTAGACTTAGCAATTCGCATTATCTGATCACTTGTAAGCTAACCACCTATTTAGGTCACATGAGAAGAGTAAACGGTCGTTCTGAAGAGGGTCAGATAAGGAAGTGCACCGGCACAATAGAAGGGATAACTGGGACGGGGTAAAGGACATGAATCTTAAAGAAACTTAGGATTACAGTCAGTTGCTGGCAAATTTAACGCACGTTATTAAAAGATGGTGCAGCGCCCAATGGGCCGCATAAGCTACACTTGACAGGTCGGTACTTGCTAAAATCCACTGCGATGACCGGATGATCATCCATCAAATATCGCTGTGCACAGTGGCTAATGATTCGGCTTGCTGCATTGAATACAACGCTGGGCTAATGAGGTGTACGGACAACATGCTTGCTTGCATCAAATAAAGAAAAGGAACAGAACACGTGCCAGCTATTTAGGTAATCAGCAATCATGTATCTTAGCCATTTGTGTAATAGTCCACCGCAACCACTTGGAACAGGACAGGTGAAGGGGAAATAACGCAAAATCCTCTTGCAATCAGCCGTTCAACAAAGGACGGTACACTAAACTGAGGGGTGAGCTGACACAAAGAAATGACACAAATCTCCAGAAAACAAAACTAGAAGAAAAAAGCAAGAATCAAAAAGCTGCTAACTTGTGGATCAGAGACTTGGCAACCTACCACCAAAAGCATACAACGACTGGTCGCATATGACCAACAGAGCTAGCGGAATGTTGATCACATCCAGTGGGAACGCCGGGTGAGCGATGCTGAGGTATATCAAACGTATTCTGTCAAAAAACCCACTGGAACCCCGCTGGAGTGCCTGTTGGAGTTGAATTGCTTACATTAGCTAGATCATGACCTCCATACACCCAACGACAACCTTCATCGGTGTCCAAAATGTGATGGCGCCGCACCCCGCCGGCAACGAATCCGAGGTGTCCAGTTGATGACTTGGAGTTAAGGCACGAATAAATTGACCGACAATGTTAGTCAGACTGCTCCGTGTCGTCCTCGTGGATGGGACCGCCGGATAAACCGCAACAGTGGTTTGGGACTTGAACGGACATGAGGCGCTCGTCCAGTCAATGACGATCCTAAATTAGGCCTCTTGCATAAAACTGGCAACATTCCAACCCAATTAGCATTACGCTTTACTCGTACTTCTACATCCTGGCATAAAGTTTTCAGTAAAGCTTAAAAACATTGTAATACACGACGCGTTTCGACCTTAGGCGATCTCACCAGGTGGAAGTAGCAGAGCTCGAACCCGGGACCACTCAATCCATCGACCTCAAGCGCCGTGAGTTAGCCTGACAAACGCATTCCCGCATACCGCATGCTCATAGCGCCGTTCGAATCGAAATCCGGTTCTTTGATAAGAAGCGAAAATAAAACGTTCACCGATACAATGATTAGAGTCCCAGTAATTCACAGTTAGACTACCACGAAGCGGAAATTAACTTGTATGCAACACTTTATCGCACATCGATATACGACATTCATCCGCATCTTCAATGCTACGCGGTGCGCAAACAGTCCTCCACTTCGCAAGCAACCGCAGTATAGAAAACTTACAAATAACTGAGAGACCATCGAACATACATCTAGCATTCCCAATCAACTGTAATGGCTTCGGATTCCGCCATCTAGACTCGAAAAATGATGCAAGAAGAATATTCTCACAAATTCTGAGGACATATTATACAATATGTGATGGAGGATTTGAAAATCCCGTGAACTCGCGTCGCCGGAGAGGTAAACGGCAGAAAAACTGCCGATGATCCAACACTGTCGCATGCCACCGAACTTCGTTATTCCACCTAACCAGTCTAGCAGCAGACTTACGCGGCAGGTGTGATGTGCACAACAGTAATGGGGTCCAAAAAGGAGCACAAGGGGCACATTGAGTCGCAATGACAGACAGTGAGGATATCATAAACACCCCAATGGTGAACAGCATCTGTGTTAAAGTAATGCAGCAGCCTGTGACGCGCATTGCCGGTCGAAGTGACCGGCTCAAAGTAAATACCGAGAATAATATATACGTAAAAGAATCGGACACCTCATCGGTCTCAAACACCTTCCTATACATACGATCGGACAGTCCGTCTCCACTGTACAACCAAATAAAAATAGTTACAAACCAACGAGGAGACATTCAAAAATCTACTCACTCAAATGAACCGACTTTTCGTGAACTCGGAGATATCCTAGAAGAGGAAACGTTTTCCCACAGTACTTGCATTTGTGAGGTCGCTCTTCTGCAACGAAAAACAGGAACTTGACAGTTATCCTAAGCATAAAAAACAATGGTATAGTGGAAACGTGATGGGTTGCGGCGAATACAATTAGAACAACCTCCTTCAATTAATAAAAGGAGGACGAATAAGAGACAAAGGATAGCACTCTACCTGATTATCAAGTATCCCGTCTGAAATATTCCACTAGATCGCTAACATTTAATGCAGGAATGAAAATCAATTGCACTTTGTATTTTGATACACTGCGATACGCCAAGCCATTCGCCAGTCACTGGGAATTCAAAATTGGAACTACTTATTCACATGGGTAGAATCTGCTTCAACCTACTGAGTACGTTTCCCACGATGCAGTGATACCTTATGGCGACACAATACCGAGTGCACAAAACGTATATTGGAGTCACGGTGAAAACTGGATAACGCTTCCCTCAGGGGCAATCTGAGCTAATGAATCAGATTCGAAAATACCGATTGCTAAAGTGTTAAACATCCGGGGTATTTGATAAATATAAGCAAGTTCAACGCACATCAGTAAAAGGTGGTTCGATATACACAGCGTCGCGTAAGCTACACATGACAGCTTGATACTAGCCCAACTCAACTGCGGTGACCGGATAATCATTTATCGGATATCGCTGTGCGCAGTCGCTAATCATCCGGCTTCCTGCGCTGAACATAACACTTGGTGGGTGAGGTTAACGGACAACATGCCAGCCAGCAAAGCCCATGGTTCTTCTGTGGCGAAGGAGGTCGTTAAGCTGGCGATGGAAGTCGTCTTTTACCGAGCCATCGCTACAATTAGTGGGCGCGTAGATAGCGATGACGAATAGACACCTATTAGTAATGCGCGACATCGAAGTTTTGAACAAGCCAGCCAATCGGACCGCACACATCCGGCTACTGATTAGGACCCAATCAACCAGAGCAGCTTCAGCCCGTGGACTCAGAGGAATAGCAACAGTGGGTTAACCAGCGCTAGAACCTGCATCGCCACTGCATACCCGCAATGAGATAGTACTGCTGGTGTGGCCGATTTGTAGCAGTGTGCGTACATTGGGGCATGGCAATCCGAAGGAGGATCGATGGCTCCAGACGAAAGCCGATGAACTGGGATGGACCGCTTGGTTGGACATGGGCTTGTGGACAGGGCAGGGTTGATGCTGCATGTCTGCCTGAGAGTTGACCCTAGAAGATAAACGCCCAGCAAAGCAAGGCTGGGGAGTGCCATGAATTAGGGGATAAAAACAGGGAGATAAAAGTGAAGTTAGAAGAGGACGATAAGCGGGTAAAAACGTAAGTGCGAATAAGAAACGGGCATGCTTCAGCAGTAGCATCCAAATCTCTATCCACCCTGCTCGATGCAGTAGATCAGGCGCCGTTTATTGCCCTCTGAGAGGGCCAGAGCATTAAGGAATTGTTAGAGGAAAGGTTCGTTGTATTGCGTGGGAGAATACTGTCAGGTTGCCCAGGCCAAGACAGCAGAACGATTGGGGTTCTCAACCAAAGCATTTCGTTTAAAAAACTGGCCGCAATGCAGTTAGTTTGGTGGTGAGCTGCAAGGAGTCCATTGCATTGAATAAGGAGCCACCCTCATTCTAACCCAAACCTGGAGGACCAGGAGGCTGAGTTTATCTGACCTCCAACCAATCTGGTATGAGTGGCTCTGAAGGTGCAAAAGCACCATCCAGCATAGCTCAATGGATCGCTGAAGCACGCAAACCATCGCACCACGGTAAGGTCCAGCCTCATTGCGATGGACTCCAGCCACCTGGCGGCTCTTGTTTTGTTCCAGCTTTCTAAACTTGTTCCTCCGTTGTACTAGTTGGCTTTCGGACACCATAACATGTTAGGAGAAAATGGCGCATCCACGAAATCTTCCAACTTGCACGAGGGGCGGGAGCAGATTCTTGCTTGCAAGCTACATAAAAGTTGCGATAGATGTAAAAATCGTCGTAATGCTAATCTAGCATTTCTGTTAGTGAAATCCTAAAAATCATCGCCCCGTGGAATTAACGTTTTATTCATGTTCATGCAGCGTATTATTTCATTTTTGTCTGAGAACAAAGTATACTCATTAGGATAAAGTAGGAGATCCAGTGAATACTTGAGATATCTTTCGCTGATTTAATAAAGTAATCCAACGGATGGTGACATCCACTAGATAGGTGGTTCAGCCCAGTCCGCTTTGATTGGAACTGCGCTTCGAGGTGGCCAATGAGCACACATCTGCTTAATGCAGACTGCGATCGCTGAGGGAGGATCTGATGATAAATCTGATTCTCAATGCCTTGGAGGATGGATATCAGCGACAGAGTGTCGGTGATAAGCGAATGCAGTCAAAAGCCACAAATTAAGCCTTAGCTTCCTTAGGAACAGACCTGCACGATTAGTTCTGAGATTACCGGAGAGCACGGAGAGTACTTTGTCGATTGCAATTTCATACCTATGCGAATGGTTAAACAGCGATGTTGCGCTCAAGAATTTGAACATGAGGCGTGCTAAAACAGCTTTGGTTGAAGGAACCGAGGTCGGTAGAGAGCAGATCGGTAAAAATGTGACAAGGAACTACGGAATGTTAATCCGTATCGAATGAGTGTATGATTTCTGGGCTCGGTGAAGATGAATCAGAGAAAACGCTTGACAGAGAAGAGCGCAGTGGCTATGCGATCGTTTGTTTGCAGACAACCTGCAACGCACTACGTTCGTCACCTTGGCTAAGAGTAGAGAACATCTGCATTAGCCGTGCCAGCTCCGATCGACATGCTCGCTCCTGTTTACATCTGCTGGACACTCTTAACTATTCTCAATTTTATTTAGACTGACAGTGTTTGGAGAGGAATTCGATGTATCGATAGGGCAGGATACCGTGCAATTGTCCAGGTCTAGACAGGAGAACGAGTAGGTTCGCGGCCAACGCTTTGGGTTCCAAAAATCTGATCTTTATAACGTCAGAAGTCCCTCCGGAACCGGGAACAAAGACGAACAGAGTGACACCGCTGATTATTGCATCAACAAAGAACACTTTTAGACGTCTTTAAGCGCATCCATTCCAATCAACCATTTGTTATTCTATGCCAGTGTTCCCAGTGCAATTTAACTGTAACTGATAGCTTTCGGTTCCTTGCTGCAGAATTACGACCCCATACATGCGAACCTTGTGGGAGATCGTTTTCTGAGAAGAGCATTTTACAAACACATTACAAATGTGTCCATTCGAGTAAGTGTGCAATTGATAGTGCGAGTTATGCTTTGCAATTTATCCCTCGCGATAAACCATCTTCCTTGATATCGCGTTCTTTTGATAGAATCAACCGTGCTGATAACAACGCCTCTTCCTTTTGGTTCTTTTATTCTCAGGAACATTTTGCTGTACAGCTGATACACTTCTACAACTCGATACTGTGATATGTAGCAATCGAATCAATTTATTTCATTCTACACATGGTTAACCCGATTGCTGGCATCTATTTCCGGTTATGCCAAGCGTTACCCGTCATAACCCCATCGACGATACACTTGAAACAAAACAAAAATAATCTAAGACGTTTGATAGTGCTGGTGTGAGCACAAGGTCAAGGATGTATGGTAAGTGACCTGGAAAGATCCGGGTAGTTGAAGAGATATGCTAAGGTGAGTTAGGTTCGACGATCAGCATACTACTTTAAAGCTAACTGCAAGAGAGCATCCGGTCAACAATCTTTGTTTATTTTTAGTCTTGTGTTCCTAGTGGACGTTCCTTAAATAGAAGGGCGCAGCTAGACTTGAGCTAATGAAGGAAAGCAAGGTAGGTTAGCTTAATGAGGCGTAACTAAACTCAGTATTTAGTTTACTCACATCCATATGGCAAGAAATTAACTTCGATAATGTCGAACTTATCAGCTAGGGATCGGTGTTGGCCCGAGAAGGCTAATTTCCGAGGCTGTGGAAATAACCAATACTAACAACTGCATGAATAGAATGGATGAAGTAGGGTTGTCTATTGCGTGGTGTGCAATCTTACTCCGGCAAGTTTGATAAGCGTCGTCGGATGGGTCCGAACTAGGAATGGACTATTAACCTCCTCTCCACCAAATTCCTAAATATCGAATACATTTTCCATTCGTGACCGATTTCCATACAACAAACCACTTAGGTATACCCGGCAATATCGGAAATTGCCTTCATAGCGACATCTTTTATTTTCTACTTGACTTTGTCTGAAACGCAGTGGCTACAAAAGAATGTAGTGACGTTCGACCGCTGTAACCTTTTACTAACAAATTGCAAATTTATTGTTCTCCATATGTAACCCCCATATTCCGTATAAAATTCCAGTCAATTTTCAACTAATTCATTTTGACTGAAAAAGCTGTTGAGTCAAAGGCGAAATACAGTGCTTTTAAACAAATATGTTAACCGGTCGTTCATCAAACCTCGTGAAATGATGACTTCTCGATCGGTTCCAAATGCATTCCATCATATCGAATGGAGTACATTGTCATGGCAAACTGATTGCAGCTCTTCTTTCGATCATGGTTAACCGGTTTGGAACTGCAATGGGTTTGTTTGTGCCAACATCTGGCGAATATAGTTGTTGAATGATACCACTAAACTGGCTGTTGGTGGCATACCTTCAGGGTGTCTTGCGATCAGTGGCTGGAAACTTGTTCCTAGAAATCTGGTGAACTGCGAAATCACAGGCATGTGACTTTGTGTGTTCCACCATAGCTGTATCATATTTCAAGTGTATAGTACTCTGAGCCTCTGCACTGACTGTTATCAGGGTGACAACTGGGTCTAGTTCTGGTCTCGACATTCTTGGGAGACTGCAGGCTTTACACCATTATCAGTTACTCAATGTGATCTTCAGTTAGTGATTTCGGCTTGATTTTTTGACACTCGCTTCACCGCATGGACAATGGGACTGTCTTGTAACCCTTTTCACACAAATGCAAGAAATTGTGAAGGTT